GCTGACCACGCGACGCATACCTCCGAGAGTGAGACCGCCTCGAGCGTCGCCCGTTCCCCCACGCGGGCATTCTTCCGTCTTTGGCGCCTAAAGAAAAAATCAATTGAGCGAGCATTCGCATTTGTACCGCTGCCTGTGTCATTCCAATATCAAATAACCAACGCGCGGGTACCTCCTCGCGTTGTGGGTATAAGATAATTCGACTCGCAGCATATCCCGTCCCCATCGGAGGCCCCGCTAAGCTTGGTCTGGCAAAGACTCGATGGCGACATCGCCCCGGTTTCGACATCGCGGGAGGAGTGCCCGTACAACCACCATAACAAAAGACTCTTCCGCTCCCTCCAAGCCGTGCTTGGGACATTGTCGCCTGTTAAAGCCGCGCCATCATTCCCTGACAGTCGCATTCTGAGTGATTCGCCCACCCCCCGTCAGGGTTTTCTCGTTTCTCGCTGTCGTCTTCTCCTCGGCCTCTCTGCAGCATTTCATTTCTTGGCTGCCGCCGTCATCCCGGAGCCACATCTCTTGGCCCACGAGATCCATCGTCTTGTCCAGCGGGAGGACCGTAGAGCCTCTGCTTGGCACTTGGCACTCCACTACCGAAGTCTCTGAACTCAATTAATAACCTCGAGGCCCGTCCTCAATAACCTGTTGAAGAGCTTCGAAGAGCTTTGAAGAGCTTCCGTTCCAGTTGCACAACTTTACCGCCTCGCGCGCGAGCAACACCCTCCGGTCCTTCAACATTGACACCTGATTGTCACTGTTGTCCCAAACGGACACACCTTTCTTTTCAGCTGTGTGATTGCGAGCGCACCAGTTGGCCTTATCAGACGCCGTCAGATCACTACTGTCTGCCTGAGTCGGGGGGCGTTCACGAACTCGTCATTGAGTTGGGTCTCGACCAATTAATATCCCCTTGGTTCGATTGCGCAACTTTGCAAGGGCTTTGTGGGAGGTGTCAATCTCGCACCTACTACCCCAAACCGCCACCTCCGTCGAGGTTCGAGGCCTGAAAGCGTTCTAGTCACCTCTTGCGACATTCAGCTCTCATATATCGCACCCTGGTTCAAATTCCTTTCACCCACCGCTCAGTCGGTTTATTTCGGGGCAGTTTGCAAGGGCCCAACTCGTGTGTGTGGCACGGTAGCCCCAGCGAGTCCTATATATCCTTGGGGGCGTCTTCCTTTGAGAGAGAGTCAGCAAGTACCTTTGGTTACTCGCTTCCTTAGCCGCCTGCCCGACCACTTCAACCCTCGCCAATTTAACCAACATGCCGGGCGCAGGCTCAAAGATCGGCCACGGCCTGGCCAAGGTCTTGGGCATCAAGCTCGACAGGCCCGAGAACGAGGAGATGCTCCGTGGAGAGTCTGTCTTCTCCGTTCAGTCTTCAGACACCTTCGTCGAGGAGGAGCCGACAACCGCAGAATGGTTCCTCGAACTTGTGCCCACGGGCGAAGAGGTTGTTCAGTACATTCGCTCCCTCTTCCCCTTCCTCACCTGGATTGGTCACTACAACCTGCAGTGGTTCATGGGTGACTTGGTTGCCGGTGTCACTGTTGGTGCTGTCGTCGTTCCTCAGGGCATGGCGTACGCGCTGCTGGCGAAGCTCGATCCCGAATTCGGTCTCTACTCATCCTTCATGGGTGTTATTCTCTACTGGTTCTTTGCTACATCCAAGGATATTACGATTGGCGTAAGTTGCCCCTGAAGCAGAGTTTTGTGCGCTACTAACAGACCCCAGCCTGTCGCTGTCATGTCAACTGTCGTTGGCAACCTCATCACCGATGTTCAAGCCGACTTCCCCCAGTACGAAGGACATCAGATTGCATCGGCACTCGCAATCATTGCGGGCGCCATCATCCTGTTCATCGGTCTGATTCGCATGGGATGGATCGTCAACTTGATTTCCCTCACTTCGCTTTCCGCCTTCATGACGGGCTCGGCCATCAGCATCGCGGTCGGTCAGCTCACGACGTTGCTGGGTATCAAGGGTGTCAACACTCGTGATGCTACCTACATGGTCCTCATCAACACCCTGAAGAACCTTCCCAAGACCAAGATGGATGCGGCCATGGGCCTGACTGCCTTGACCTGGCTGTACCTCCTCCGATACGTCTTCACCACCGCCGCGAAGAAATACCCTCAGAGGTCGAAGCTATTCTTCTTCCTGTCAACCTTGCGAACTGTCTTCGTTATCCTGCTCTACACCATGATCAGTTGGCTGGTCAACATGCACAGGCGCGACAACCCCATGTTCAAGATTCTTGGCGATGTTCCCCGAGGATTCCAGGACGTCGGTACCCCTAAGATCGACACCGACCTCATCAGTGCCTTCCTGCCCTTCCTTCCCGCCAGTATCATCGTTCTTGTCATCGAGCACGTCGCCATCTCCAAGTCCTTCGGTCGTGTCAACAACTACACCATCAACCCCTCTCAGGAGTTTGTTGCCATCGGTGTTACGAACGTCATCGCTCCGTTCCTTGGCGGTTACCCCTCTACCGGATCCTTCAGTCGTACCGCCATCAAGTCCAAGGCTGGTGTCAGGACACCCTTTGCCGGTGTTATTACGGGTCTCATCGTCTTGCTTGCTATTTACGCACTGACGGCCGTCTTCTTCTACATCTCCAGCGCCTCCCTGGCCGCCGTCATTATCCACGCCGTCGGAGACTTGATTACGCCCCCCAACACCGTTTACCAGTTCTGGCGTGTCTCTCCCTTCGAGGTTCTCATCTTCTTCGTTGGTGTCTTCGTGACCGTCTTCTCTTCCATCGAGAACGGCATCTACGCTACCGTCGTCATATCCGCCGCCCTCCTCTTCTGGCGGATCCTCCGAGGCCAGGGCCGATTCCTTGGCAAGGTCAAGATCCACTCCGTTATCGGCGACCATGTCATCGGAGAGGACCACAGGCAAGTCGTTGGCGAGTACGGCACCTTCGATGCCGGCGATAACGCGGCTCGCAACGTCTTCCTCCCCATCGACCACGGCGATGGTACTAACCCCGAGGTTGAGCTCGACCAGCCCTACCCCGGTATCTTCATCTACCGCTTCTCCGAGGGCTTCAACTACCCCAACGCCAGTCACTCCCTTGAATACTTCACTGAGTACGTCTTCGAGCGCACCCGCCGCACCAACCTCCAGAGCTACGGTCGCCTCGGAGACCGACCCTGGAACGACCCCGGCCCGTCCCGCAAGGCTTCGAAGGCCGCCGCCCAGATCGCCGCTTCCGAGAACAAGCCCACGCTCAAGGCTGTTATCCTTGACTTCAGTTGCGTGAACAATGTCGATCTCACCTCCATCCAGCAGCTCATCGACGTCCGCAACCAGCTTGACCGTTACGCCGCGCCCGACAAGGTCAACTGGCACATCGCTTGCATCAACAACCGCTGGACCAAGCGCGCCCTCGTCGCCGCAGGCTTTGGATACCCGGCCGACCGCGGCGACGGCCTGCAGCACCGCTGGAAGTCCATCTTCAGCGTCGCCGAGATTGGTGGTGCCGAGTCGGCTGCGGCAGTCGCAGAGAAGGAGGCCAACGAGAAGGAGATTTCTTCCCACGCCAGGAACTCCCGACACGCGGACGAGGAGTCTGGCAAGAGCGGGGCTTACGACGCGATCGACCCTGTGTCATCTACGGGCTTGCATCACGAGCGCGGCACGAGGGGCCTGGCCGCCAAGAGGAGAGGTGTCGTGGTTCACGGCCTGAACAGGCCGCTGTTCCACGTCGACTTGACGAGTGCGCTGCAGAGCGCCATCGCCAACAGCGAGGGACGCGGAGAGGTCGAGCCGGGCCCGAAGAGCCCGGACACTTCTAGCGAGTAAAAAGGGATGGGTTTTTCGGAATACTGGATTAGCGATTGATACCCGTGTTGGGAAACATTTGTTAGATTGGTGTGGATGAATCATGAAAAAAAGAGTGGTGCCCAGGTTTATAAAGTGGCACATACTCAGACGTTGTTCTTGTCATTTACGCTTTGTTTGTTTGTATATAGAGCTTTGTGCTCGAGATATTCAGCATAATATCAAATGGTCTTGCTGAATCGTTTGGCGAATTGCTTGTGTGACTATGTCTCCGGCTGGCGATACGGCATTGCGGCCTCGGTCGTTACTTGAGGGGTTCTTTTAGACTCAAATACGACCGTCCAAAAGGACCTCTCAACGGACGGTCCTAACCACATTTGTCACGGCGGACCGACAGTGACCATATAATGAGACTTCTATTGAGGCGCTGTAAATAGGACAGCCAATCGTGGGGGCGTGTTGAACATTTTGGTTTTGATAACATTGATCAGTGATATCTGGAGATCCATTGGTTGCATGGTGGCTTGGATAGATCTCTTCGAAGGAGATGGGCCAACCGTTCCGCTTCTTTCCGTCTTCCCAGGCGCGGGAGTATTCAGGCGTGGATTCAAGAGTCTTGCGTCTTGTTCTCTTCGGTCGCTGCTTAGCAGTCCGAGGTCTTCTAATTTCTTATGGTTCAGGATGTGCAGTATCGCTCCGGGAACGTCTTCTCCATTTTGCCATGCCGAGTGAGCCTGCTCATTCCGATGGACAATATTGCTCTCTTCCATATGGAAGGTGTTTGTCTTGTACCAACTGCTGGAGGCGTATAACTTGCGATGTCCCAACCCTTTTACTTCAAGAACAAGCTAACCGATATATCTGTTTCCCTCATTACAGGGACCAAGGCGGTCTCCAACCATGTTGCCCATACAGAATCGTACGACTGTCTGGTGAGCTCGCAGGCTGTGTGAGAATCGCACGACGTGCGTTCTCAATTCTCATCATCGCTGTCTGCTGAGACAATTACCGACTGACCCCGCTCTATTACCCTTCCCGTCATCCTTCCCAACACCGTATGTGTTTACGTCAAGGGTCCCTCCACCAATGTCGGCAATGATAATGATCTTCCCTGTGCTTAGCTATAGTATATTAAGCCGAGGACAACTTGTTATAGGCTTTCGTAGATGTTGAGTATTGCCCTCAGACTAATGGAATATGTCGTCCTTCACTTGCTTGTCGGTAGGTCTATTACAATACCCCATGGCGGTTGAATGACCTCACCGTCTCCCTCAACAGCGGCGTTCACAAATAGCGTCTGACCCGGTCCGACAGGGTTTTCGCTACCCATAGAATGGTCTGATAAATAGACCTTTTGTGTCGTCATGTGATCGATCTTTTTCAGCCTGGCGAGCCTGTCGTCCTCCGATTCAAATCTGCTGCCTCTAAGCCCGGCAAGGTTGTTGATGACCATCGACTTGTCGTTGTCAATATCGCTAAAGTGAGAGGGTATATCAGAGATCTCGGGCCGCCATTTGGCTAACTTTGCTCCCCAACCGCAATGGACGTGCCCGAAACAGTGCATCCGAGGCTGCGATCTGGCGACAGCACCAAACAGCTGCGGGCATCCAAGGCGTTTGCGGCTCGACGACATGTCCATTATTCCCTGAGGCGGACCATGCGTGATGACGACGTCGGTCTGTTCTTGGATGTTGAACTCATGCTGTCCATCATAACTGTATGCCCACGTCTCCTTCGATGGGGTATACGGGCTTGCATATACGCGTAGGACGCCGCCATTCTGGAGGTCGAACTGGTGTGTTCCTTCATCTAGGAACATGATGCCACAGCGCTCTGCATCTTTGATAATCCTTCTGGCTTCTCCGTCTGTGCCAAACTCTCTGTCAATTAATTCGCTCTCCAGTGGCTCACCATTGACATGATTAGCTTCGTTTATCTTCATTTTGAAAGCATCAGAGTCGAGGGTAAAGTCGTGGTTGCCTGCAATAACGAGTTTAAGTGGTGCCTTGAGACCTGAGAGCATCTGGAGGGTGTCGCGAAACTCTGCAATTTTTGAGTGTTGTGTAAGGTCGCCGCAGTGAATGACGACATCGAACGATTCATTTGGTGCATAGTCGCTGGATTTGCCTTGCCCGTGAGTGTCAGACAAGACGAGAATCTTCGTCGCTACGTGCGAAGGCATGGCTGGCGTTGGTCTTGCGTGGATGGTGCTGTGTGGTGTGGGTTCTGATTTGTGAGCTTCGAAATGTAAACAGATGAATGTGTTAAGCTGATGGAAATTCTTGGAGAAGAACCCCCTCTTTGAAATATTTATACCGTGGGCTTGGCGGGAAACCTTTAAGTGCGAACCAAAGCGGTTGTTAAAATCTTTCACGATGAGGCAAACCGTCAATGTTCTTATCCGGAGTTTACACGGTGCTGGGGTCGGAGAAACAGATCATAAGCTTTAGTGATGCTGTGACAAAAGAAAATGAAGGATACATGAAAACTTAGAAGGAAAAAAGGATATGAAATGTAGATTTACCATGACAAATAAATTCAAGTGAAAAGTCGCGTTTCTTTCACTCTGAATGGATACATCATGCTCGCTGGCCGGAACTCAGGTACGAAGTAGGCAGGAAGCCAAGCCTCCTGCAAAATGTAGAATGGCCGCACCTGGCGATTGCCGATGATCAGGGGAATGCACTTTCCAGCGCTTCGAGCGACTACTGAATCACAGGTGCCATGGGACATAAATGCAGTTGCACTTCACAATGAAATAGACGTAAGGAAACCGCACAGCATCGAAGTCGGGGGTGACGTGATGAAATCTCGGAGGGATTTCGCAGTTTTGATTTTGTTCTTCAGCATCACCATAAACCCTCTTGGTAAGTTTTGTTCTATTTGAAGCACCAGACCTATGATAGAAAGCCTTCAATATTTGTCGGTGCTTCCAAGCTAATTTAAGACAGGACTCAATAATACTCGCATCCGCTTTTCAGCAGTCTCGTTGTAACAGTCCCATTTCAAGTAGGTCATCATCTACCGCCAACGTTTGAGATTGAAATCAACGACTATCTAACACATTGCTAACCTTGAAACCTAGACACGTTAAACCCAATTTTCCCCGCTGAAATGCCCATTAAACGCCCAATTGCCAAGCCCATGCGTGCGGCTCTCTTGTCCTGCTTTGAAGAAGCGGTTAGTCTTGTTCGCCCGGCCTTGCGAAAACAAGTTGTTTTGGTAGGAGGCGCGGCCAGCATTGCCCACTCTTCGGTTTGGCACACCAACGATGTGGATGTTGCGGCCCCTCCAGACGCCATCATCAGCATTTAGGAAGCAGCCGAGGCTAGAATCAACGGCTTTAGTCTAGAATGCGACGGCCATGTTGCGTACGATGCACCTCAAGGATTCAGGATCCGCATGGACCTCCTGGTCATTGGAGACGGCGTTATTGAGCGCGTGTACGCAACCGAAGACTTTTTAGGCGGTTCTCTTGCGTCTAGCTCAGATCTTGCGCGCCTTCGGGCAAAGACTGTCGTTGAGAGAGGCAGCGAAGGCGAGGTTGAAGATTTTCGGTGGCTTTTGAGTCTCATGGCTCAAACGAACCAAGTCTTCCCTGTCCTGGATGAAGATGAGAAGAAGAATGTGGTCGGTGCTGCAACTTCTTTGGAGATGTTTGACCGTTTCCTGCTCGTGGCTCTTCTGGGTGTCTTCAATGGCGAAACGGCGTTCCAGCTGTTGGGTTTTTAAACGGGGTATTTCATTTTGAGTAGAGCATAGGCGTGCACGATCATTGCGTTAGTCTCAGAAGCAATCGACTGTTCCGATCACATCAAATTTGCACCTCAGTCATGCCCTTCTCACTCCTTGCCATCGCAGCCGCGGTCTGTGCCTCTTCAACCGCGGCAGAAGTGTTTCTACAAATTGGACAGGCGTGCGCCTCAATCGGAGATTCTTCTGTTCGTACCATCGTCTCCGGCTGTCTAAATGATGTAGTTTTACTGACCATGCTGCTGTTCCAGTGGGAGTCTAACTGCAATGCTGCCGACTCAGACAGTTGTGCAGACTTATGCGAAGGCAGGGTGAGTATTCCACCACTTGTTCTTGGATCAAGGCTTGAAGTTCCTTCGCTTACGAAATATTGCAGTGCCAAAATGGTGACAATGGACGATGGATGGCTATTCCGAAGGGCGACTGCGATTGTTACTGCAACTAGCGAATGCACGTATGGTAAAAGATTCCCGTTGAGCCACGGCTCATTGCTCCTGTTGTAGACTTAGTATATGTCAAAACCTTGAGAAAACACCCCAACTTGTTACATCAAGCTGCCCACGGTGTGTCCTATTCAACACAGTAACAAGAGTCGCCGGCGTGGTGCATCCAATTCCAGCCTTAGCTTCTTTGGGCTACAATATCCCCTCCAGCCAGGGCCAGCCCACAGAGACTGAGGCCATATACGAATGGGCTAGAAGGCAATGACTGCGTGCAAGCTGCAATTTGGTCCTACTTCGAGACACTCAAAGACGTCGTAGAGGTTCGCTAAGCCAGCTGTGTCAAGATTCTCCTGAATCGATCCCTCTAACTAACCGCTGAGAATCGTAATACTATCGTGTAAGCTCGCATGCTATAGCGGATGAAAATAGACGCAGAGGTTGAACTTCATTTGAGGCAATGCGTGTGGAACCATCACGTAGCCCAGGATGATCCTATCGACAAAGCCTCTATGGGCCTCTTCGCTTGCGGTGTCTGCCACATACGACCATACCCACTGGAAAACTCGGGATCCCGTCCGCTCTCCCATAGATAAGCTAGTGAGGGATGGAGTAGTAGTCGGGTCGGTGACGACCGGCGAATGCCCGTTGTTGTATGTTTTTTGCCCTTTCTGTGTCTTTTTTGAAGGCTGGGGCGGAGGGGCGATTGGTGGGGATGTCATCGTGATGTCTGGTGGGGGACGATGTGCCGGTCACCAAACTCCTCAGAACCGTCACGCGTCTAGACGAAACGCAATTTCGAGATGTGCAAGAGCAAATCTTCAGCAAACATATGTAAAGTCTTAGCTAACTGACCATCGCTAAACAGGTGGAAATTTAGCATCTGGGTTGAGGCCGTGAGTAGAAGCAGTGACCTAGCAACAGATAGCCAGGCGTAAAACTCGCAGGTTCATGCATAAGGTATTAATCGCAAATGTTGCTCTTTAGCTCGGGGGATCTATAAAGAGAAGAAAAAAAACAATATTATCGGACGTTCTCGGCTAATGCCCTTACGTGGTCGATTAAAGGCAGGCGCCTGGTCATGTTACGAGATTCCCTGCCTGGCTTTGTCAACGTCTGACTTTCAGCACATCCATCACATTGTAGAGAGCTCTCACTATGGTGACATTTCGACATTTGGTAATGGTCCGGATTTCACAAGATGATCTGGCATACCTGCCTCGTTACCTTGCGTTACCACCAGTTTTGGACCGAAACCCGATGCTATTCTGCGGTGTGAGGACAGATCAGTGTACATGACGAGCTCACAAGCTCTCTAATTGGGAAGAAATCCAATCGAACTTGTGGAAGGCAGTCCCGATCTGCGCGGCATTCGTGACATGAGAGCGTAAGTGTCCGGGACAAGACACGGTAACGAATACGCCCAAGCTTGAGCAGAGAGGAGACGGACGAAGAGCGTGAAAGCCCGTTCAGAAATCCCGTGTTAAATGATGAAATGTCGTCTCATATTGGCTCACGCGCATCCCCAATTTGTGTCTTCGTTATTCCAGGGACAAACAGTGCATAGGCTCAGTAATATCCCTACTCCGAAGAACATATGTATATACAACGCATTCGGTATATGAGGTGATTCACATTTAGTCAACTGTGTATTTTGAACATTGAAAACACTTCCTAGACAACCCAAGCCGGAGTGGGCACCAACGCTGCTGAGGTCTCAGAGGATCCATACTCCCATAAAGCATGCAGCTACAACGTTGAGTTGAGACAGCGTCTCAGCGATGCGATTTTCCGCCGGCCTAGTTTAGCACGCGGCACAGAGTGAAGCTCCTATGCTACACGTTGTCCTTAAAGTGGCATGTTCAAGTGCCCTACTGATACTTGAACCAACGTGTGGTTTAATACACTTCAGAGACCATCCATAGTCGCCACCGCAGGAGGCACGTCATAGCCCCGACGCCGCCCATAACCATCAGACTTCCCCTTGACACGTAGATTGGTAGCCCATCGGGTATTGTCAGTCAAAAGACAAAGTCTCAACAAAAAGATCACATGCAACACCGAGCATTCGCTGGTCGTCTCCGACCCAACTACTACTTCGGCCCTCGCTGGTTTATCGATGGGAGAGCGGACGGGATCCCGAGTTCTCCAGTGGGTATGGTCGCATGTGGTGGTGTCTCGAAGACACAGACTCATGTAGCCTCGGAGTGACTCCTGTCGGCGAGTTGACTCGCTCAAACCCGGTCCCTTGCAGTTGCGCCTGGCGAGATATGCTCCCAACAGGATGCCACGTGCAGCATGTGAATCTTCACCGCTTGACTCACGCTCGACGAACGATAGCGTGCTCGATCTTGTGTCATCATGTCAGTTCAGGCTATCGCAGGGCAGTTGGTCTCAGGGGAAAGAGTCATCTCCAATCAGGAGAAGACATCGACAAGGCAGGCCATGGTGACTTCAAAGGCCTCAACCAGTCAGAAGCCCGCGTACAACTGCCATCATGTGAGATGAACTCATGTTCCAGACAAACTGCAGCGGCCTCACCCGAAGCAGCATGCCTCATTACCCAACACGGAAGCGAACCCTCCTGGACATCTCCGGTCTAGGGAGAAGACAGCCACTAAGCGCCACAAACGCTGCCCCCGCCTGCCAGCACTCACTATACCTCGAACCACAGAACCCCATCACCATCGCATGCGCTTCATAGCCCTGCCGTCATGGTCATATACACATAGCCAATGGATGAGAGCAGCCCCTTTGGCCCCTGTCGTCTACATCGCACAACGTCAAAGCTTGGCTGCGTCCTTTGCGATAAACGGCATCACCAACTCACGGGATGTCAGCCGCACCGCAACGTCGAGCCAACGGCCTCGGTGCTGCCTGATCTATTCTTTGATGAGAATCCGGCAGTTCGGGACCAATGACGAGATGAGGGGGCGATGAGAGGCCGCTCGCCATCATCCTGGGGTCGTAGCCATGGTGAGTTAACCGG